TGGCTACCGACATGACTACTGACATGGCTACCGACATGGCTACTAACATGGCTGCCGACATGGCTACCGACATGGCTGCCAACATGGCTACCGACATGGCTACCGACATGGCTACTGACGTGGCTACTGACATGGCTACTGACGTGGCCGCCGATATGGCTGCCGACATGGCTACCAACATGGCTACCAACATGGCTGCCGACATGGCTGCCGACATGGCTACTAACATGGCTACCGACGTGGCTACTGACGTGGCTACCGACATGGCTACTGATGTGGCTACTGACATGGCTGCCAACATGGCCACCGATGTGGCTACTGACATGGCTGCGGACATGGCTACCGACATGACTACTGACATGGCTACCGACATGGCTACTAACATGGCTACCGACGTGGCTACTGACGTGGCTGCCGACATGGCTACTGATGTGGCTACTGACATGGCTGCCAACATGGCCACCGACGTGGCTACTGACATGGCTGCCGACATGGCTACCAACATGGCTACCGACATGGCTGCCGACATGGCTGCCGACATGGCTACTAACATGGCTACCGACGTGGCTACTGACGTGGCTACCGACATGGCTACCGACATGGCTACTGACATGGCTACTGACATGGCTACTGACATGGCTGCCGACATGGCTGCCGACATGGCTGATAATGTGGCTACCGACATAGATACCAACATGGTTGCCAATATGGCTGCCAACATGGCTACCAACGTGGCTGTTAATATGGCTGCCAATATGACTACTGACATAGGTACCAGCATGGCTATCAACATGGTTGCCAACATGGCTACCAACATGGCTGCTGACACGGCTGCTAATATGGTTTCCAATATGGCTACCTACATAGATACCAGCATGACTATCAATATGGTTGCCAACATGGCTACCAACACGGCTGCCAACGTGGCTGCCAACGTGGCTGCCAACATGGCTACCAACATGGATGCCAACATGGCTGCCAATATAGCTACCAACATGGCTACCAACATAGATACCAGCATGACTATCAACGCGGCTACCAACACGGCTACCAACACGGCTACCAATATGGCTGCCAACATGGCTGCTAATATAGTTGCCAACATGGCTGCCGACATGGTCAACTCCTCTGGGCACCCCAAAAATATGGGCACCCCAAATCTATGGGGACCCCAAACCTCCGGGCACCCCACATCTGTCAGCACCCCACATCTATGGGGACCCCGCATCGATGGGGCACCCCAAATCTGTGGGGACCCACATTTATGGCCACCCCCATTTATGGCCACCTCCCATTTATGGCCACCCCAAATCCACGGGGACCCACATTTATGGCCACCCCCCATTTATGGCCACCCCAAATCTCCGGCCACCCCACGCCGATGTGCTGCAGTACCGGCGGTGACCACATGGCGGCGCCCTACCCGCGGTGCTGCAGCGTTTTGATGTTGAAGCCCAGCGTCGGGGCGGCGCCGCTGACGTCCTCGCCGTTGAAACGCTTCAGCAGCGTCGTCTTCCCGGCGTTGTCCAACCCCCTGCGGAGCCCCTCGTGATGGGGTCGGCCACCCCACAGAGCCCCACAGACCCACGGACCCCGTACACCCCATAGACCCCATCCATCCCATAGACCCCATCCATCCACCCCATAGATCCCCTTCACCCCACAGACCCCATTCATTCACCCCATAGACCCCACTCACCCCATAGATCCCCTTCACCCCGCAGACCCCAATCATTCACCCCATAGACCCCATTAATTTACCCCATAGACCCCATCCACCCCATTGATCCCCTTCACCTCTTAGACCCCAATCATTCACTCTATAGATCCCATTGCACCCCATAGATCCCATGCACGCTATAGATCCCATTCATCCACCCCATAGATCCATTCCACCCTGTAGACCCCAATCATTCACCCCATAGATCCCATTCCACCCCACAGATCCCCATTCAATCCATAGACCCCATTCATTCACCCTACAGACCCCATTCAACCCATAGACCCCATTCATTCACCCCATAGACCCCATCCACCCCATTGATCCCCTTCACCTCTTAGACCCCATTCATTCACCCCATAGATCCCATTCCATCCCATAGATCCCATGCATCCTATAGACCCCATTCATCCACCCCATAGACTCCATTCACCCTATACATCCCCTTCACCCCACAGACCCCATTCATTCACCCCACAGACCCCATTCACCCCAGAGACCCATTCCCCCCACAGATCCCATCCACCCCATAGAGCCCATGCACCCCATAGAACCCCATTCATTCACCCCATAGACCCCACTCACCCCATAGATCCCCTTCACCCCACAGACCCCATTCATTCACCCTATAGGTCCCATTCAATCCATAGACCCCAATCGTTCACCCCACAGACCCCATTCCACCCCATGCACCCTATAGACCCCATTCATCCACCCCATAGATCCCATTCCACCCCATAGATCCCATCCACCCCATAGAACCCATTCATTCACCCCATAGATCCCAGTCATTCATCCTATAGATCCCATTCAATCCATAGACCCCATTCATTCACCCCATAGATCCCACTCACCCCATAGATCCCCTTCACCCCATA